ACTTGACCGAGGAACGTCGAAAAAAGGGCTACCCAGGGCGTTAAAAGGCGACGCCAAGGGTTCTTGACCAAGAGCCCATATGTGACGAATTGGGAGTAAGAATGTGTTGCTATCTCAGGCCTGGGTCAGTTCATTTAATAGAGATCAAGCTGAGAGGCACCACTCAAACGCCAGGTCATTTACTCAAAGGGTGAAATTCCTATGGCTTAGCTAATAAATATGTTCATTACAATGTTGTGTGAAAGATGTGAAACATTTAAAAAAAAAGAAAACGACTTCTAAGAAAGCTGAATATTATACAATATTGTGATTTTTCAGAATGTTTGAGAAACCTGAATGGAGTTTCTAGATGAAAGAATGCCAAGACTATAAGTCTTATAAGGTTCTCTCCGGCTGCTCCGGCTTCCTACAAAATATTACACCGTAACTCCGGAGTTATAACGCAGTACGTTGCAGGTTCTAATCTAAACCGAAATCTTAACCTGAAAAGTAACTAACTATATCTTTTAGATAAATGTAGTGGAGTCAAAAGTACAATATTCCCTCTGAAAGGCAGTTGAGTAGAAGTATAAACTAGTAAAAAATGAAAATACTCACATAAAGTACAAGTACCTCTAAATTTTACTAAAGTACAGTACTTGAGTAAATGTTATTATTAACTTTCTGTAACTGGTTTCATCCTTTGGAAGCCACTGGAATTTTGCTAAATGCTACATCGCCTTTGCATTCCACTAATGGAGCATGTTTTTCACATTTGCTATTTGCACCTGTTCATCCTATACTGTTAATTGCTGTGTCATCATTGCATCCTTCAATACCCAGATCCTCCAGTCTGCATGTGTCCTTGTCACAATCCTCCAAATTTCTCCCAATGGCTGTGCCATCGTGTATGAGTGTGTCCAGTTCTATTCTGATGTGCAGTTAGCACGTTGCAAGTAGCCTCCGCCTTAGAGGGAGAATGGGGTGAATGTGACATGTCCGAAGTTGCTATATAGTAGAGTCTCTCATATTCTTTGCTCTCTGTAAGTGTTGTCATGGTTATTGATCCTTTATCAAGCAGTTCTGGTGACTGCTGACCTCGTCAAGTGGCACCACGCGTCACATGTGGTCCGTAGTGACCCCATGACACACACGGTCCATAATGAACCCATGACATGCACATGGTCCATAGTGATCCTATTACACGCACATGTTCTATAGTAATCCCATGTTATAGAGAGCCCATGAGACGTACATTGTCTATAGTGACACAATGTTATAGTGACACCATGACCCGCACATGGTCCATAATGAACCCATGACATGCACATGGTCCATAGTGATCCCATGACATGCACATGGTCCATGGTGATCCCATGACATGCATATGGTCCATAGTGATCCCATGACATGCACATGTACCATAGTGATCCCATGACATGCACATGGTCCATGGTGATCCCATGACATGCACATGGTCCATAGTGATCCCATGACATGCACATGGTCCATGGTGATCCCATGACATGCACATGGTCCATAGTGAACCCATGACATGCATATGGTCCATAGTGATCCCATGACATGCACATGGTCCATAGTGATCCCATGACATGCACATGGTCCATGGTGATCCCATGACCCGCACATGGTCCATAATGAACCCATGACATGCACATGGTCCATAGTGATCCCATGACATGCACATGGTCCATGGTGATCCCATGACATGCATATGGTCCATAGTGATCCCATGACATGCACATGTACCATAGTGATCCCATGACATGCACATGGTCCATGGTGATCCCATGACATGCACATGGTCCATAGTGATCCCATGACATGCACATGGTCCATGGTGATCCCATGACATGCACATGGTCCATAGTGAACCCATGACATGCATATGGTCCATAGTGATCCCATGACATGCACATGGTCCATAGTGATCCCATGACATGCACATGGTCCATGGTGATCCCATGACATGCACATGGTCCATAGTGATCCCATGACATGCACATGGTCCATAGTGATCCCATGACATGCATATGGTCCATAGTGATCCCATGACATGCATATGGTCCATAGTGATCCCATGACATGCATATGGTCCATAGTGATCCCATGTCATGCATATGGTCCATAGTGATCCCATGACATGCATATGGTCCATAGTGATCCCATGTTATATTGACTCCATGACACGCACATGGTCCATGGTGATCCAATGACGCGCACATGATCCATGGTGATCCCATGACACGCACATGGTATATAGTGATCCCATGATGTGCACATGGTCCATTGTGATCCCATGACGTGTACATGGTATATAGTGATCCCATGACGCGCACATGATCCATGGTGATCCCATGATGCTCACATGGTCCATTGTGATCCCATGACATGCACATGGTATATAGTGATCCCATGACGCGCACATGATCCATGGTGATCCCATGATGTGCACATGGTCCATGGTGATCCCATGACATGCACATGGTATATAGTGATCCCATGACGCGCACATGGTATATAGTGATCCCATGACGCGCACATGATCCATGGTGATCCCATGATGTGCACATGGTCCATGGTGATCCCATGACACGCACATGGTCCATGGTGATCCCATGACACGCACATGGTCTATAGTGACACCATGTTATAGTGACCCCATGACACGCACATCGTATAGTGGCCCCATGTTATAGCGTTGAGCATTAAGCATCAGCATACACAAGTAATAGGGAGATCTCTCAAATAATGACAAAATGGCTGAAATGAAAAGTATTCAGAGTTGACCTGATCAGAGTAAAAAACATACATGCCTGCATGCATGTTTGGTTTTTTGCTTTGTTTTTTTGTTTTTTGATGCAAAGAAAGACACACAAAGACATCAATGTCATCTATATACAAACACATCAGACACATGCCCACTCATACAGTAGATGCATACAAGAAATGAATGCTCCACACACACCGCTGCTTGCTGAAATACACAAAAATGTGTACACACCCCCATCCAAAATTTTTTATCCACACAAATAACTATATACACACACACACACACACACAGAGACAAGCATGCCTATACACCACGGGGATCTGTTCTCTGCAGGAGCGAGGATGTAAATAGGATAGAATTAGCAGAGCAGGCATAAGAGGTGAAGAGAGGGAGGCGAGGAGAACAGAAGAGCTGCTGATGGAGGGGAGGAGACAGGGGAGGAATCACAGAAAATGGAGGGGGACTGTTACATCAACCCCCCGATGTTTTATCTGGATCTCAGAGCTGTCACTCATTCTATCACGCAGTCTTGCTTCCACTTTTCCTTCAGTGACAGAAAGGCCTTTTTTTATTTTTACCACATAAAAACTCATTCAACCAACATGCTGTTTTGTACATGCAATTTGTCAGTTAAGACAAATAATTAAATACTATTCTAATAAACATATACACTTAGTGAGCAGCCATTTTAAACTAGCAGCCAATTAATGCTACCTCTGACAAACTTGTTTTTGTTGACAGTGAGGTGTCAGAGTTTTCCTTCAGTTTTGAGGCAGTTGTTTTTATCCCATTATATTGGACTCCAATGTAAGGTGAGTCTTTAATATTTTGCTTTTCCATACAGTATGGTAAATGGACTGTACTTGTATAGCACCTTTCTAGTCTTCCGACCACTCAAAGCGCTTTTTAAACTACGTCACATTCATACACTGATGGCAGCGGCAAAGGTGCCAACTGCTCATCAGAACAGAATTTAACATTCACACTCACACACGGATTGCACAGCCATCGGAAGCTGATTAGTATCTTGAACAAGGACACCTTGACATGCAGACTGAAGGATCGAACCACCAATCTTGTAATTTGCGGGCAACCTGCTCTACCTCCTGACGTCTTTCATGATCATGCAGTCTAATACAAAGAAGAATGAGTTAACCAAAACAAAAGCCCGGAACTAAAGCTTTACATGTTCAGTCACTAAGTGGCTTTTGACAGATGTACACTGAATGTCTTCTAATGGTTTATAAACTGCATTTCCCACATTTCTCTCCTTCTCTCTCTTATGTCTCTCACTATCTTTCCACACACACACACACACACACACACACACACACACACACACACTCTGAGGGATCCTCACAACATGTTAATCTGCGCAGTTTTGAGATTTGCACCATGCATTTACACACATAATTCCATTTATATGTCTTTGCATCCATCTTTGCTCTTTTGCAGCCTTGATACTTTTATATTCCAATAAAAATATGAAAAGATGAGGGAAAATTTCATAAAAAGAGCAGGGTGGAGAGGGGGCAGCGGGGTTCATTCAGGCTTTTAAATCTCTGAAAACCTAATTCCGCATGTCTTCTCTCACTCTGTGTTCATTATCTCCTCCTTCACCACCTCTTTTCTTCTCTTTTTCCTTTTTGCCCCAAAGGAAAAGCTGCTGCTCTTTCTGTTTGGATTTCCAAAAAACAACATGCCCTTCCATCATTTAGACATAGTCATGAAGAAGAAAACCCTATTCTGACTCATCTTTTCAACATGATGCTGATATTGATATCAAAGTATCACATGTCTGCTGATCCAAGAGCACTTTATCAATTATTGTCAATTATTAGCTATAAAGGTAGAAAAAAACATCAACGCCAGAATAAAGAGTATTCATGGACTAAATGCAGCCCTTGTTTAATTTACTATAATTTAAAAGAATGCCACATATTTACATGTCAGTATTAGTTGGCTGTGAAAATTTCCACGTTATTTGCTTCACAGTGTTCAGCATTATATCATTTTTTCTTTTGCCATGTGTTGTTTGACATATCCAGAAACTTCTGAACTTCTAAAATCCTAAATTATACGCATATTTTATGTATTTAATTGGTTAATATAATTACAATGAACCTACACCGTCTTTTGTTTGACATTTCCAACTGTAAACGGTCAAAGCCTTAATTAACAACTGTGCACGTGTCTGTTTACAAAATGAATTGAGCTTTTCACTCACCATTGAAGTTCCAGAGGGGCTGAAGCCCCCCACCTCCGTTACTGTCGTTACTCATGTTGCATGGCGGGGCACCAACAACTGCCAACCCGAGACTTCTCTTCCTTTTCTCTCCGCTCGCGCTCTTGTCCACTTTCCTTTCTCCAAGTTTCCCACCGGCTTTCGCACCACAATTCCTTCCGTAGTCCTTCTATAATTCTATATCCCTTTATTTCTTTGTTTTCTCCTCCCCTGCTCTGCTGCTACACCGGCGGAATCAGAGTTTACTCTGTGTTGCTGATCCTTTGCTTCTGTTATGATTTCTCTTTCGTGTATGATATTAACACATTTGTATGTGGCAGTTTTCCTCTCTGGGGGGTAGACGCTGTACCAACCAGCCGGTTTGTCATAAGAATATATAATAAAAACACATAACAAATCAACAGCAACCAATCACTAATACTTCTTGATTACTCATCGATATTCCCGGAATAAAAAAAAAAACCCTGGCCGCTCAGCATCCATGGTTTCACGCGCACCAGAAAGTGTGTCTGATGTGGAGCGAGAGAGAGAGAGAGAGAGAGAGGCATGTGATGTCATTTTTCTCAGCCAATCCATGATGACTGAAGCTCTGTTTTCTGTTTTTAACATGTCTTTCTTCACAGTGCTGGTAATCTCAATGTATAGTTACTAGTCACCACTAACATCAATAAGGTCAGAAGCCAGAATATTAAGATTTCTGTTGTCAGACACAGTAAAATGAGAAACTCTGTACAAAACTATTTTTATTATTTCTGTTTGGTCTACTTCACTAGCAATAAATTATTTGTATGCTGAACCTGCACTTCTCCCTTTAACCCTCACCCAAAATAAATGGTCCACGTAGCATCACAGTAGCCCAGCGTCATCACAATTTCCTGCCTCAGGCCTCACAGACAATGAAACTGAAAGAAAGGTAAAAAAAACCCCAACTTACTGGCGAAGGGGGGGGGGGGGGGGTATACAGGAGGAGGAGGAGAGTAGAGGAAGAATACAGGAGACTGCTGCTGCTAATCGCATAAATATGGAGATATATATATATATATATATATATATATCAAGACGTGTACTAATGCAAGTGTGTAAGTCTGTCTGTAGAAATGTACTAACATGAAGTCTACAGCGGATGGTGTGACTGAAGGAAATGACACACGGAGCAGACAACAACAACAACAAAGTAACGACTGAGCTTAATGTACATAGTTCCTGGAACAGTACTGTACAATAATATGTCACGTTTCATGTTGCTGCTGCACCCCCTTTCCCCTTAGACCAGCAACATGCATGTAACTAGGGAACGCCCTGAATATAATAAAAAGAGAGAAAACGGAAGAGATAACTCAGAGAGTTTGTAACTGAGTACATCTCTGTCCGTTCTCCTCGCGAGTAAAAAGCCATTAACTCTCTTGTCTTTCTTCCTTGTCTGATATATTATAGGTGTCTGAACCTGACATTTACTTGGTCCTTCGAGCCGGATACCAAGACACCCGAGGGTTCCAGTGGGCGAGGTGGAAACCGGGAAAGACCGTGGCCACGGCATATAGATCCTTTTCCAGGACCGGGTTTCAGCCCGCCGACTGGGATCTGACGGTTGACGGTAATCCGAAGGAGGAAGACAATAGTGGTGAGTGGGCTTTTGTTAAAACGCAAAGAATGACTGAGGGTCAAAGTGCGTAAGAAAACCCTGTAATCCTAGGCACTGACAGGTAAAAGAGTAGGACGGCGGAGTCCTAAAAAGGGCCTATAAAATTCCGTGTAGCAAAAAATAAATAAATAAAATAATAAGAATAATATATTAAACGGGGAAACGAGTGAATGTGTTAATGCATGGGAAGAGCATTCCATTAGGAGTGATCTTCCATATAAAAGCAGTGGGGTTGTAAACAGTAAGACTGACGTGGATGCAAAGACAAGAATTCTCCACTCGTGAGAATTACCACAACAGAAAGTTCATTACTGTGCCACTGATTGAAAAACCAACGGTTGAACGCCCTAGGTGTTAAAACGTTGGACCAAAATTTAAAAATGGGGAAAGGGGCCAGTAAGATCATAAGCAAAGACAGCTTAGCATGTAAAGACTATAAATACGTTGAAAAACTGGATCCTAAACGCACAAAACACCTCGAGAAATAGATAACTGACTACGGGTTTGAGGGACGCCTCAATACCCAAACACTAACCGAATTGCAGGATGCGATAGTAAAAAATACACAAAAAAAAAAAACCCAAAGAAAATGAAAAAAGTAGGCTGGGAGGATGTTGAGTTGTGGAAAAGAGGGACATTTTGCATGAGATTGTCCAGAGAAAAAGGATACCTCCGCATGACTAGAATCAGAAAATAAATTAAACACGAACCCTGAGCCCGCCGAACCTTCTGAAACAAATGATAAAGAAGCCAAGATAAACTACCAAGATCTTTTAGCAATGGACAGTGTAAAACCCGAAGTGACATTGTCAGTAAATGGAAAGCTTATAACTTTTCTGTGCGATTCTGGAGCATGCAGAACTATCTGCAAAGAACCGATACCAAACTCTAGGCATGATGGTCAGCAAATTGTGGTACGATCAGCGAGCGGTAAACTAACTGAAGTACCTGAATCTGAACCCGTATGGCTAAGGGATCCTGAGGGTCTGTCATGCCAGATGTCCGTTTTATTGTTGCCACAATGCCCAGTCAACCTGCTAGGAAGAGATGGCCTTAGATTAGGATTGGCGCTAATACCATCGGCTGAGGGACAAATAGTAGTAAAAGAGAAAAGCTGAATTATTGAAAGGAGACATACAGTATGTGTTCGCCAAGGAATTGGAGAACCGCGATGCTACTATTCCCTCGACATTCCAGACAAGCCACCACACAATACGGCCACTGCCCTACTAAATGAGGGAAGAAACGCAGGACAAGATGTCAGCTGATAATTTGCATGTCACACTGTGGTACAGACATGCAGCAGGCCCAGACAGAGAATATGAGGATAAGTTAGAGCAGGACACTCCTGCCAAAATCACCATAAACTACATGTATTCTGATGCAGACAGCACATCAGCCGCAGGAGTAACCTTGACCGATAAGGTCATGCAGCTGTATAAAATGTGGGTGCCACCACACGTTTCCCTGTACAAAAGCAAAAACCTGCAGTGGAAATATCTTGGAAAAATGGTGCAGCAGGGAGAGAATGCTACTGATTGGGTGGCCACATCTGTTAATACGTGGTCAAGTGCTAAAACCGGACTGACCAGGAAAGCTTTGTTCTGGTCAGGTCCAGGAAGGAATACACCTCCATTCTATAGATGAATGAGAAATAATGGTGTTAACGCAGGAAGAGGAAGAACTGCTGCACGAAGTCCCAGAGAAGGTGTGGTCTAAAGGGCCTAGTGACGTAGGTCTAGTAGAGGGAGCGATCCCTGTAAAAGACCAAAATCAGATTATAGACCCCGCATCAGACAATATCCTCTAAAACAGGATGCACAAGATGGAATAAAGCCAGTAATAGAAGATTTACTCAGAGCAGGAGTAATAATTAAATGTGTAACAAATTACTGTAGGACTTGGGTGCCAAATTATGCAGAGATAACCTCACCTTTAAACAAGCTGATGTATGAAGAAGATCTTAAAATGAACGCATTACTAAAGTGGACCAAAGAAGCTGAAGAAGCTTTTCGTAAAATAAAACAAGTCTTGGTGTCTAGTGCAGCGCTTGCACTACCAGACTATAGCAAACCCTTTGTCCAGATGGTGGACTGTAAGGGACAATTTATGACATCAGTACTAACTCAACAACATGGGGATAAAATGAGACCAATTGCATATTTTTCCTCTAAACTGGATAGTGTGGCTTGCGCATTACCACATTGTGTACTAATAGCTGTAATAGCAACCTCAGTGGCTGTAGAAGTAAGCGCTACAATTGTACTCTTTCACCCGCTGACCTTAAAAGTCCCGCATGCGGTTTCAGCTCTACTTCTCCAGACAAACATGATGTTTTTGTCACCCGCTAGACATCTTTCCTGTATGTCAGTTTTACTGTCACAACCACATGTGACTATAGGAAGATGCACCACCCTGAACCCGGCAACGCTGCTGCCAACAGCAGACGACGGAGAAAAGCATGACTGTCAGACAGTAGCTGAAGAAAAAGCTAAAAGTAGACTTGACCTTAAAGATCAACCACTCCAGGAAGGGGAAGTTATCTTTGTAGATGGTTCTTCGCAAAAAATTAGTTCGGAGAAACATTAACAGGATATGCTGTGGTTACAAAGACCACAGTACTAAAAGCGGAACAACTAATACCCAGTTGCTCTGCACAAGCAGTCTGATATTATAGGCACAGATTTTGATCTAAAGCAGGAATGCAGTCTACTGCCTCGTTGAACATATTTTTAAGTGTTTGAGAACGTAGCAAATGAAAGTAGTACAGCTGTGGCTCAAGACAGTTGCAAAAATATATTACTAAAGCACTGTAGGATTGCATTGATGCGTGCATTGTGAGGTTGCCGTGCCATGTCTATTTGAATAAGTGTGTAAGTGACCCAAAACGTGCAACAAGCTAGCTGCTGATATGTTCGGAAAAGGTTGGCCAAATGACAAAATGAGTGGAGCATTCTGCATCCAGTGGCGCAAGTAGCGACACTGCAGCCAGTGCACCGGGGTGATTACAAGGCCCCACGAGGGACAACGACAATTGCCACGTGGACTGTGATCAGACGCCGTCATCCATACATTCATTCTGCTTTTCTTGATTGCTATTTGCTCTGTGGTTATTGACATGCTGTATCAGCTACTTTGTGTTGATTTGTTACCGTAGGCTGGCTAAAGCTATTTCAGTTGTTTGATAGTCGGATACAACAGATTTGAGATGAGGGCAGGCTGTGAGATTTGTGTGTGGCTTCTCGGCTGCTGATCTGACTTTCTCCACCCAGTGTTTATGGGACGGTGGCACTGCTAATATAATTTTAACTCATCGTTGATAGATCTGTAACAGTGTTACCCTCACTGTCAGCAGTGTGGTGATAAGCCTTGTTACCAAAGATCGTTTCAGTTGGTATCAGCCTGCTCGCCATGTTTGTAGTGATTTCAAGTTAAGATCTTTGGTGCTCTCACTAGTCAGAGTCAAATTCTGTAGTAAAACTGTCCCCCTACATAGCCCCCCAGGGGTGATGTTGCATGCAACTGATCAATTGCTTTAATTTTGTTTGTTCTGTTCATTCATCCTTTTTATTTCGCCAGCATGATAGGGAATAATTTGTCCCCCTCGCATAAGCTTTTTTAAAGTTTCCCACAGAGTGCTGTAGCTTATCTCCTGGGGTTCATTTGTAAGAAGAAAAAGGTTAATTTGGGTATTTATGAACTTGATAAAATCCTTTTCTGCCAGAAGCCTTAGATTAAAAGGTACAATGCCTCCCAGTGAACACAGCAGACTGGGACCGAACACAGACAAGATAAAAAGAACAAAAACAAGGCACAACAATACTCAATGATATAGTATAATAATGACTTAATGATATAGTGTTCCTGTTCTGTG